GGGTCAGGGCCCGCACCAGCGCGGCTCGGGCAGCTGCCAAGGGGAACAGCTGAGCTGAAGAGCAGCTCTCGGTTGGCGGGCAGGCTCCCAGCTAGGCTCCCCGCATGGCACTTTCCCACAGGGCTGTTCTCCCGGCAGCCCAAGCCAAGGCTGTGCTGCTGTGCCGCACCAGAGCTGGCCTTGAGCACGGGCGGCTGAGCCCGGCGTGGCAGGGGAGAGGTGGCACTCAGCCCTGACACACAGTAGGCAGCAGCTTTGCTACCGTGGAGAGTCATTTGTTTAACGCGGAGAAAGCTTGAGGTGTGCTTGCCAAGTGACTTCGCTGGTGTTCTTGAGGACCTCTCCATAAAACACTTGCAGGGCATTCTCCTGGGTCTTACTTTGTCCCATGCAGCTTCGAATACCTATCTGAAGTGTTGTGTTCAGTGTTGCTCTTGGAAACACCTATTTCTCCTCATCCAGTTTATTTAGGAAGTCTGAGGCAGCTGAAGCCTAAATTAAGGGTTTGCAGTTTCCTGAGAAAAATGCTGTCTTTGAATTTTGGTATATACTGATACTCAGCAGTTCAGGTTGCGACTGCAAGTTCTTAATAGTTCAGAAAGGTGATCTTGGGAGCTTTGGCTAAATAGGGCTCCCCATACTCATGGTGGAGACTCGAGCAGAGAAGCTCTTGGAGGAATTCTGCTTTCCCTTTAGCCTTTTGCAACCACAGATACCATGATCCACATCTCTGCTCTGACACTAAGGAACTTTTTAGTGCTATGTTGATGAAAGGAGCGATATTATCGAGCCTCTCTTGCCCCCCCTGCCCCGTGAGGGGGTGTACAGAGTGCAGGCGTAGCCACAGCCTCCACTGCTGTGCAAAAGGTCCGTGCTCTCCACACGTGCAGTGTGTGCACACCTCTAAGGGAACCCATGTGGACAAACCTCTTGAAGAAAGCCAATGGGATCCTAGGGTGCATCAAGAAGAGTGTGGCCAGCAGGACGAGGGAGGTTCTCCTTCCCCTCTACACTGCCCTGGTGAGGCCTCATCTAGAGTACTGTGTCCAGTTCTGGGCTCCCCAGTTCAAGAAAGATGAAGAGCTACTGGAGAGAGTCCAGCGGAGGGCTACGAGGATG